ATGTGGGCAGCTTGGGGGGCCTTCTGGCACACGTGGGACTGAAGTAGCGCTCGACCATGTTAACAAACGCATGCCTCCGGCACAGGCAGGAGGCTCTCCTAGGAGGGGAAGGCACTGGTGGCCAGGCGCAGGACCTGGCCTGCAGCAGAGCCAAAACACATCAGGGCAGCAGCCCTAAGATGAGTCCACGATCCTCCAGGGGGCCTCAGCTCCTCCAGCTCAGCCCTATCCTCCTCATCGCAGTCCAGGCAGCTGCCCCCTGCAGGCCTGACGACCTCCTACCCTCTCAGCCAGCCCAGAGCGCCCCATCTCAGTACAGGCCCCAGAGACCCCTACATGCCGGGCGCCCTCCCGCCCGCTCACCTAACCCCAGCGCCTAGGCATGGCGGGTCCTGGGAAGCTGCTGGGCGCGCGCCTTCAGGAATAATGGCGCCGGGCTCCTTTTCCACGTGCGGCTGCCTCTCTTGCTGGGCTTCTCAGGCACGGGGGGCCCGTGGTGGATATGTACCTGCCTTTCCTGGCTTGTTTGCCCTGAACTCATCCATTTCAATTCCGGGTACAGCCTCAAGACTTGCGCACTAACATTTGGGCTACGGTTAGGTGGGAGGGGCCTCGCAACAGCCAGGCGTGGCCACTGTAAAGCGCATGCGCTCCTTCCCAATGCACAGGCTCTCGCAGTACCCCTCCTTCGCGCATGCTCCGTTCACGCTTAGTGGCAATGTCCTAGTTGTCAATTCAGTTTCATCAAATGCAAGTACAAGATGCCCAAAGAATAGTGCTGATCTTTTTAATTTATTATGTCTGCTATGAAAACCAAAGGTAGTTCTTTACACACTGGACAGATTAGCCCTTCTCCTGTTATATGTATTACCAGTATTTTCTCAAAAGCAACAATATTTGACCTTGCTGATGGTCTCTTACTCTGCCCTGCTTTGCCTGTTCCAGAGAACCGCTACAATATCTCTGGCCTAGGATTTCACCTGCCTCTTGTGACCCTGCATAGCACAGGAAGTTCCCTCCCCTTAGAATATGTAACAACTTCTTTCAGTTGCACTGACCTTTCTATGCCACCATCCAGTCAAGTGCATAAGTGAAGCCCCAGGTACAGAACAACTGTGATTTTGTTTGTATACAATTATACAAAATGTCAACCAAACTATACTGATGAAAAGCATATTGCTGGCTTCCTAGGGAAGGGATCTGGGCAGAGGAGCAGGAAGAAGACATTAGCATGGAGCACAAAGGCATCCCTTGGGTGGTGGGTAGGATGATGTCTGGATTGTGATATTCCTTCGCCAGTGGGTGCAAATGCCAAAACATATCAAGTTGTATACTTTACACAAGACCAGCTATGGCATGCCAATTATACTGCAATAAAGATGTTATAAGATGTTTTCAGGTATACGTACGAGGCACTCAGTAGTAAAACTGCCTTTACTTATAGCAACCATCATCATGTAAAAAAGAAAATCTAAAGCAATCTAGAGAAAAATTTCTTTCACCACTGAATGACTTCAAGATGTATGTACAAAGTCAATATTCGAAACCAAGTACACTGTACAAAGCAACATAAAGGAAAAATAAAAATATTTAAATAACACCATGTAGAAGAATTTTTAAAAAAGTATTTAGGGACAATTGCGCATTGTGAAGTATAAAACAATGCTGGGACAAACAAAAATAATTAACAAATGAAGCTCTATACCATGATTATGGATTGTAAAGTTGAATATCATTAAGATGTCAAGTCTTCTTAAAAACATTTATAAATTCAAAATAATATTAAGATTCCAGAAATTTTTGGAGAAATCGACAAAGTGATTTATATTTATATAAAAACACAATTTGGGAAGGAAAACAAAAATTGGAGAATTACTTTCAAAGCTTGTAATAATCAGGAAAACATAGTTTGATTATAAATGCAGATATACAGATCACTAGAACAATATAGAAAGTCCCAAAATGGATCCACACATAACATGATAGATCAAATTTCAACAAATTTGCCAAGACAGTTCAAAGGGAAGAATATTTACCACATGGAGCACACAGGAATATTTTAACATTAGGCAACTATTTTGTAACAAGACTGTGGTTATGGTTATATGCTATCATACATTTTTCAAAACGCAAAGAACTGCACACTCTAAATGAGCACATTTTATTGCATGTAAGTTACACCTCAGCAAAGTTGAAGGAGTAAAAAGGAGGAGGTCAGAGTGAGAAGATATACTCAGCATACAATACTAAAGATAACTACATAAAATATGGTAATTATGCCCATAAATCAATAAGAAAACTACCTCCTATGACAAAGATTTATATAGGTTACTGGTAGAAAATAGTCCAAATGTCTCCTCAACATGACAGTTGTTTAACTGTATACATAATAAGAGAGGTACAAACTAAGATAGAATGCATAACCCAACCACCAGAAAAATAGACACTAAATTGTACGATCCCTTGATTTCAGGGCTATAAGGATATGAGAAAGGTGAATTCTGCTACACAGCTGTGTGGGTTGCTGTTCTTGCTGCAGACACCAATTTACCCACATCTGGCAAGACTGACAAAACACTCACTAGCACAAGTGCACCTCTGGGTGCCAATCCAACCCATGCACAGGAGGAAGCACCTATAGGAGCCCGCGTTTAAAACTGCTGATAATAGGAATACCAGAAATACCTTGGTGTCTACAAATATTAAAATGTAGAAATAAAATGTGGAATTCACTACGTGGTTGAGATTAAAGAAATATTTGTACATACACAGGGTTGAAAAATATAATGCTGAGGAAAATGTTGTAGGGGGCATATTCCGTTTAAAAGCATCTAGAACATGTCAAACTATTCCTGAAAATGGATCAGATAAATCCCCATGTATTTATGGCAAGAGATCATGTGGGAAGAGGAAAGAAGCAGATGAGCCTGGAGGCAAATTAAGGTTACTTTGGTGTTGTTTAATTGTTTAAGTTACTCTGAAGTAAAAATGATAAAGATTAGCATTTTGTTATTCTAATCACAAATAACTGAGTATTCTGTAAGTTTGTATAATCTTCAACATTTCAAATGTGAAGTAAATTTTAAATCTATTAAATATTTTAAAAGACTGAAAATTAATAACTTTCAATAAATCTCCTGTACTCTGAGTTCACTTTAACCTGAAAATTAGTTTTTACTAGAAAAAATTCAGTGTTTTACACTCTGCAAATTGAATTTACTAATTTTTTATTGATTTTCAAATCTCTAGAATTTGCAGATTTCGATAAGAACCATTTTAAGGCCAAACACTATGTGACTGAATAAAGCATTTTTTTCTTTTTTTCTCACCATTTCTGTGGATCAAACCTCTACCCAACTACCACTAGATTGTCCGTATAGTTGATATTTGGGTCCTTCATGTGGTCACTGTGTCCACTCACATGGTATCCAAGACCTACAGCCCCTTGGAGAACCTTCTTTAGTGCTTGTGATTCATTTGGACAGCTTATTATCTTAGCCATTACTTCCATACTCACATTTAGTCTCTGAGTTCATATAAACCTGTTCATTTGGACATTCATATATGAAGAAAAGGAACTTTTAAAACTATGTTCAACTATAAGAATATTTTAGTGAATCCCCATAAAGGTCCCCTCCACTTTTATTATCACTTAGTGCCTTCTTCTGATTAAAAACTCACACTACAATAATTATTTGTCTCAAAGTATCACTTACCTCTGGATAAAGATGGAATGGTTTCTCTGTATTAAGTGTAAGGGGATAATCAGTGAGTCTGCCCTGCATTATCATCTGCAGGCCTTCCAAAAGTGAAGGTACTTCAACAATGGTTTTGAAGTAAAAGTAATGAAATTCCTTTAGAACAAAAAGAAATAAAATGGTAAAAGATTTCATTTTAATTGTTTTTATTAGTGCTTGTTAATATTACAAAATGGTGTGGTTTGTTAGGCATGTTTGCATGTGCATTTAACCTATTTTGATCTCTTTCAATCCCACCTACCCTGATGGAGACCACTACAAAGGAGTCCTGAGCAGGACTTAAATTAACCAATGTGCTTTTCATGTTTACTTGTGCATTTATCCAAAGCCTAGGCCTCCTGTCTGGAAATGGGTGGCAGACTCATAGTAAGTGAACCTCTGTGAGTCACTAAGGTTCAGCCAAGGACACCAGGATCTAACCTTAACTAGATAACGACTGTAGCCTCAGGCATCTCACTGTTCTGTGGATTAATTTAATACCTTAGTTGGAGAAATCCTTGAGAGGTAAAGCCCTTCTTGAGTACTTCCCTCCCTTGTTGGATAACTAAATAAATACAAGCTAGCCAGAGAAGGTCTTGATCTAAGCCTTGAGAGAATCTCAAATTCTGTGAGAAAGGCTTTGATCCTGGAGCCGTCACCTCTTTTAATTTAGCCTTGGCTATGCAATTGTTAAGGACATTGCAGAACTGATCAATCTGTAATAACTAAGGGATATTATTAACCTGATGTCACCCCTCTTCCTTTTCCTTCCCACTCTCAGTGAAAGCCTCCCCAGTCCCAAAAGTCTACCTCCTGGATTCTGGCCATCCCTCTTTATGTGTGTGTATTTTCTTTTATTTTTCACATAAGAGAAAACCTGTGATATTTATCTTTCTCTGGATAGTTTTATTTTGCTTGATGGTTTCTAGCCCCATCCATTTTTCCTAAAACTGACATGATTTTATTCTGCTTTACTGCTGAATAAGAAAAAGAAGTAACTTTTGAGAACATATTTTTCTAAAAAAAAAAGGTCAGTAACAGAATTTTCAATTACTCTTCCATCTGCTTTAGTGAGCTGACAAAACATATCTTATCAGATCATTCAGGAGCTAGTCCATTAGTCTTTCTATAAACTTGAAAATTTTCATACTAAAGTGTTTGAAGATGATCAAATGTTTTAACAAGACTTCTATTTTTTTTCTTTTTTGACATATGGTTTCACTATGCAATTTTCACTGGCTCTGAATGCACTATATGTCCTAAACTGCCTTGAACTTCAGCGATGCTCCTGTTTTACCCTTCTGAGTGCCAGGATTGTTAATGTGAGCCACCACACCTGGCTGGCCAGGTTATATAATAATGCCTTAAAACACAGCATTCACTGCACTAATTCTGGTTAAGATCTGACATTCCAGGGGCCAAGTGGTCCAGGACTTCTGCCCACCCCAGTCCACCCCATGGCAAAGTCACCACCTGACTTGGCTCATGATTTTTTATAAAAATAAATATGAAAAAAATAGCAACTCTTACATGATGATGGAATTAATCTGACAGTAGGTAATTATATATTATTCATATGGCATGTCTCCAAAATTGTACAAAGCTGATCTGGAAGCACGCAGTTTGGTCTCAGAGGCAAAATGGAAGGTGGAGGAAGAGGCTGGCTTTGCTCAGAGCTGTGGTGCTCCCAGGCCAGCCCTAGCCTGCACTCATATCTCAGAGACTGTGTACATGCCATCGGTCCTCCATTTGTGTGTAATCTTCTTGTAGCTCTCATAGGATTGCAGAGCAAACAAAATCAAGACTGTAACCAAAAAGGATGCACCAAGTATAGGCATTGCCACCAGGAACATTTTGTTCACCG